CCCGTCAAATTCTTCAGTCCAATATAACTGGGTCATAAATGTTTTATGTCACTCAAGCATACCGTATTCTCAGTGAGTGTTATGACAACTTAGCAATACAATATAATAAAAACTATACATGTGATAGGTTTTTGTGAATTGCATATTCACAGCAGTCCCCTTTCAGTCACGAAACAAAAGATTGAAAAGTTATATAAACAGTTACAGGAGAGCTTGAAAAAATAAAGACATATGGAGTCCTAATTATTTGCGCCTTCGCATAATGATGATTTGACTGGTTTCAAAGCAGATGGTGAAAAATAAAATATTTTTTTTCGGCTTTTTGATAATTAAAGTTGACTTAAATTATGAGGCAGACCGGTCGGGGAGTAATTAATAGGGTGGGGGTGGGGGGGGGGGGGGGGGGGGGGGGGGGGGGGGGTGAAGTCTGCGGCCATCCCGCTTTTCACCCTCTCTTTCCCCACCTGCCAAAGTGGCGGGAACCGGGGCGGGAGAAATACGGAAAATGTTCGCAGAAATCTCAGACCCGTCTCCCTCGGGTTTTCGCAAGCCCTGGTCCGAAGTCTATAACTTCAGGACGGTAGACAGGATTTTTAATAGGGGGTGCGAGTAGAGTGGCAAAGTTGGGATCGTACGAACGCCAAAGGCACGAGCTACTAGGGGGGTCTTAGGGGGGTCTTAGGTTGTCGTGCATTTCGTGCGTTTTGAAGGCAGTATGATATGAAACCAGGCAGCCAAAAGCGAACGTGAAAACATGAATATTTCTGGAACTGTTCAGTTAAAGAGAATATCGATGAAATAATATTAAAAATACATATTGCGGACCTTCGATTAAACACATTTTTAAGACAATGGAGTGAATATTTGGATGAAGAAAATGACTCGCTTGATGTTGTCTTTGTCGATGAAGACGATATGTAAACACGTTCAAAGCTGCAATTGTTTTGATTCAGACTTCATTTTCAAACTACACCTGTCCAGTTATCGAATTAGAGCACAGGCACTACTATTTCACTTTCTTTTGAACGGCCGTCGGCCCACAATAGCCGGCCTTCACAGCCCGTGGGGGGGGGGGGGGGACCCATTGCGACCCCCCTCCCTACGGACCTGGGAACTCGAAAATTGAATAAAGGCGTTTTCTTTATAATCTCTTGCCTGAGAGTACAGGACATTTTCTTGTTAAGTTAATGTGCATTTTTTTAAAAATCTGCATAATAATTTGCGCACTCGAAAATAAGAATACTATATATGATATCGAATTCAGGAATTCCAATCTCTCGTCAAAGAATAGTTAATAACAAATACTGTCTATTGTTGATACTCAACAAAGAAAGAACCAGTATACGAAAGATAGAAAATCTGAATGGAAACCGGAGAAACCAAAAGTATATTGCAATTCAGAGAGCTGGATAATTTTTAATACTGCCAATACTGATTAAAAAAGGGTGTGGTTAACTTGTCGACCTGGTTATAAATATAATTATATCCGCTCTCTGAGACAAACTACATATTGCCTATTTAGATTAGTTTTTTAAGTTGACTTCAAATTAACTGAGCTTTAGTTTCGTTTGCCGGCTGCAAAGGTCCTTTTAGTCACTACATTTAATTGCAAACATAGCTGTTGTCGAAAAGTATAAACATGAACGAAGTAGGTAAAAGTCGACTCGTTTTTGGTGTGGTTACTTTTATTGTGGCTATTTTTCCTCTCTGTAAGTACAAACCCTGCGTCAAATAATTACTAAAGCAAGAAAGTAAATCAAACTGATCACCGTCAGGCATTTCGCCTAGACTTGCCCATAAGTTGAAAGTCTAGCAATCATCTTTCCTGAATGCTGGACTGGGAACAGCGTTATTTTTTAAAGTGTTTACTTCGGCAAATTTAAAGTTTTCACACGCTCCTTTACAATACTTGCCATGCATCTTTGCGTTCAAACATGGTAAAACTTTGTTTTTGCAATACTATTTTGAAAATGTTCTTTTTATGATATTTTTTCTGTAAAATTGGCTTTTTGGTGCCACATGCTATACGTCAGTGATGCGATCGAAGTCAGAAGTGACCGCTTGTCTGACGACAGTATTTGTATATAGTACTACCTACAACCCTACCTAGATTCTTTTTTTTTTCTTAAAAATGAGGAGGATTGTTTAAATCGGCTAATGTGAAGCATAGTTTTTCACATCAACAATTGTTCGCTTCTAGCTCACTCAAGCTTGCTTTTTTTATTTACTACGTCATGTAGCTGGTTTTACTGTAAATTATTACGCGCAGATTCGGAGTATGACTGACTGGCTGGCTGATTGACCTGATTGACAGTTTGATCGATCGATCGACCGATTGACTGGACTGACTGACTGACTGACTGACTGACTGACTGACTGACGACTGACCGACCCGACTGACGACTGACTGACCGACTGGACTGACCGACTGACTGACCGACTGACTGACCGACTGACTGACTGGACCGACTGGACTGGACTGGACTGGACCGGACTGGACTGACTGGACCGACCGACTGGACTGGACTGGACCGACTGGACTGGACTGACTGGACTGGACTGGACTGGACTGACTGGACTGACTGGACTGGACTGGACTGGACTGGACTGGACTGGACTGACTGGACTGACTGGACTGGACTGGACTGGACTGACTGGACTGGACTGGACTGGACTGGACTGGACTGGACTGGACTGGACCGACTGGACTGATCAAAACTGGACTGGCCTGGACTTCGCTGGAATGAAATTTGACTGCAGAACTATATGACTGACTGTATGTTTCAACCTGACTGCGTCAGTTACTGAAAAAGGTCGCCATCCTTTGTTCTCAATTAACGTTTTGTTTGATTGGTTACTTTTCTTCAACTGGCCCGCTTCGAGTAGTCACACTGTAATCATGTGCCAGCTTCGCCTGCCTACACAGGTAACTGACTGACTGATTAGCTGACTGACTGCATTTTTATAACACTGACAGTTTGACCGGCTGACAGACCGCCTGACTGACCAGTGGATTGATTAGACTTTCTCTGTTGGTTTCAGGCTCTTCTCAGCGCTATGTTATTCCTGCCCGAAAGCAACATCCATGCAAGACTGCAACGCCCAAAATGACACAATACAACTGCTCCATGATTGGTTCATTTCACACCAAGTGCGCGCGCTGGTGTGACTGGAAGAGAGGCTTCTACATGCGAGAATGCGCCATCGATCACAAATGCAAGACAATACAGAGGGAATGCACAGAAAGAAACCAGAAAGAGCTGGAATGCGAGTACCAGTGTTGCGAGGGGAACCTGTGCAATACTGACCCCTGTAGTGTGGGACACAGCATTCGTCCACTTGTGATGCTGACGCTCATGTTTGTCATGTTAATGATCACGTTTTGTTCATAAGCACGTGCTTTCATTGTTAGACAGTGCTAGTTTCTCTCGACTCTCTCTTATTTATGTTCTGTGTCAACTTTCATAATACAGTCGAAGCTCTCGTTGCGACCACTCTCGTAAGCGACCAAGCTCTAGTTACGACCACCATTGTGAAACCCCGTTTGAATTGTCACTCAAACTCTGTAATTAAAAGCTCTCATAAGCGACCACTCCCAGCATCCGTAAGCGACCGCGACCACTTTTGTGAATTACTGATTGATAGTTTCCTTTGTTTCTCAGCTCTCGTAAGCGACCACTTGTTGTGCTACACATTTATGAGGCATTGTATTATTATTTTGTAATCATCTGAATAAGAGAGGTTTTCAATCTCTGTGGATGCGTGACCTGTACATTCGCTTTCGTACATTTCGTAAGTAAGTAAGTTGTTTCAGCGCGTGGTCACTTACGACAGCCCATTCTCGTAAGCGACCAGCTCTAGTTACGACCACTCTTTTGAATTCCCGAGGTGGTCGCTTACGAGAGCTTCGACTGCATTAGCATAACCCGCTGACAGACTATCAAGTAAACACGCAATCTGATTGGCTACACAGGGAAGTCTAATTACCGTAAAAGCTCTATTAAGCCCCCGGAGGGCTTATTTAATTTTTATGCCTCAAGAAGGGGGTGGGGGCTTAATAGAGAGGGGGGCTTATTTCAAATCATAAATTTTCGATAAAATTCACATTCATGTTTCAAACTTTACTATTATACCACTAACTAAAACAGAACAAGAAATGGGTTATGTATGACCGTCTTATGCAACGTCATTTATACCATAACTCAATACAAAGTGACTGAAACGCCAGAAAATATTGCTGAAAAAGTAATTTACATCAGCCTGACGGAAGGGGGAGGGGATTAATAGAGAGGGGAGGCTTATTACAAAATCTTACTTCCAAAGGAGGGGCTTATTAGAGAGGGGGGCTTAATAGCGAGAGGGGGGGGGGGGGGGGGCTAAAAAGAGCTTTTACAATATCGATAGATGGCAGTTTGTCAGAGAGCGCGCTATTTTGCATGGACATCATTCACAAATGTTTCAAACTTAATGAAATTTTAAAAAAAATTGTTTTATAGATCGGTCTCTGGGTTATGCCTAAACAATAATTATTAGACGGCTCGCTCTCGGTTTCTACCTACTTATAGTTGGCTTGGGGCAAACCAATAGAAACCTCAAACTCACAGTCTAATTGTCAAACAGACGTAGTGCCCACCCCGGACACCATGTCATCATTCCTTTGGGATAAGCATGCGCAGTGTGATAGACAACTACCAGAAGAGAAGTTTTAAAAACTCTTAATAACTGAAGTTTATTTTGAATTGAGATTATATACGCCTAACTGCACAAACACAGTGTTTCCCATTCGTTACAAAGCTGGATTTTTCAAGGAAGTAAAAAAAAAAAACAAGATTACTACCTTTTCACTCCCCTCATTATAATTGATAACTATTTTGAGCAATAGTTTTTATAGCAGGTGAACTTTAGAGCACTTACTGTGCGAATCAAAAACGCATGAACACTTTGATTTAATAAAATTAATGTAAAGATGGTAAATGTAAGCTTGATCATACTGCAGTAACTGTATTCAGGGATTCGAACCCATGACCTTCCGTACACCGGTCAGATGCTCTAACCACTGAGCTACAGAGTATCTCATGTACATTTGTAGTGAGCGGTCATAATTTCATGTGACACACGTCCTGCATACTGATTACTATTGATTATTATTGGTCCCATGTATGATGTCTTTTACCCACTCACCCACCCACCCAAAGGGATACCAGACCCCACTCCTAACACCACCCCTCTAAATTCATCATACTATGGACAAAGTAAAATATATTGTTGAGTACAAATTATATTACTAACTAAAGACTGCCAGAGCTGGCAAACTAAGAATACTATATTAATAATAGCTACCTACTAGTTTAAAAAATTAATATAGATCCAGCACAATGAATTAACTCTCAACTGACACAGGCCTTATGCAAATAAATCATTAGCACAGTGTCTACTCTGCAACCAGTCTGACTTTGTTCCACGAGTTTCTGATTATCTGTTCAACTTGCGGCGCCTCTGGGTGACGCAGGACATGAGGATGGAATGCACCTGGATTGGGAGGCTCGCCTTCCTTCTGAGCACCGCTGGAATCATCATGATCATCAACATACAACTCCAGCTCTGTGGCCGCACAGCAGCACAAGCATTTGCGAGTAGTCTTCAACTCCATATCTTTGAAGAATCGAAAATCCATGTACTCTGTTCGAACTGAAAGAACAATTTAAGTATGTAATGAATTCAAATAGGAATGATTCAAAGTGATCTTTGTACTTTTTGTGAAGCCTCTCAAGAAACAGTTCAACATTTATTTTTTCAGTGCACTTTTTCTACAAAATTTTGGAATGAGTTTGAAAACTATTGGTTAACAATAACTAAAGAGCAAAGAAACTTGAATATAGGGATATTATATTAGGAATATTTGATAAGAAATCCGACCTGTTTAATTACTTTATTATTTTAGGTAAACTTTATTTGTGGAAATGTCGCAAGAATAAACGAATCCCCCTATTTTTACCGTTCGAAGTTATAGTTAAGAATAAAATAATTAATATAACACTGAAAAGCTCATAGCTGCTCAAAACAACTTGAGCTTGAAAAAATTTCAGGCAAAATGGAAACCATTTATTAAAATAATAATAACTGATTATATATTGTAAACGTGACTAATTACATAATATAGAAATAATAATAATTATTGTAAAATAGTATGTTCAGTATATATTTATTTTCGCTATATTGAATTTAAATTTATCTATTTTCATTAATAATATATCTACTGGTTTGAGTTAAACATAGAGTTAGTAATAACAATGTAGTGTAAGTAATCGCAATATAAGCAGCGAAATCGCTTTTGCAAGTAGTGCAAGTATTGTTATGTAAGTATAAATTAGCATTTGTAAGCAGTGTATTCTATTTCTAAGTACTGTATTGTGAGCAGTGCAAGTATCGTATGATAAGTTAAAGTAGCGTAAGTACCGTATTGTAAGCAGTGCAAGTATTTGTATTATAAGTATTGTAAGTATCGTAATGTAAGTAGTGTAAGTATCGTATTGTATGTAATGTAAGGTATTGTAAGTAGGGCATCAAATTGTATAAAGTTGTATAAGTAATCATAATGCTCAATAAAAAAATAAAATAAAATAATAAAAAAAGTATGTAATGAATTACAGTCAAACCTGTGTTTTGTGTATAAATTAAAGTGGTCGCCATCTATTTAGCGTTCAGTTGTTGAGGTCACAGAAATTGCACAACTCAATCAGACAATAATTACTGTAAACTTTTACTTTACCTCCGTCTATTATGCAAGCCTTGAAATGGGGATGTTTATTTTGGGGGTGCACATGTGCAAGAGGTTGATGCTATATCAAATCATTACACAAAATGTACTGTAACTAGCAGAAAATTAAGGGCATTTGTAAAATAATATAAAAAGTACTCTCACCTTCCGTCCACAATCCACAAGGGGGTTCCCGCTTGTAGAACACACCTTGTCCTGTTACGCGCCAGTATGTCTTGGCTAAGCAACATGGGCAGAAGTACGCCACGCAGCATTCTCCGCAGTCTTCCTTGTAAGCAAGGCCAGGGGCAGGCGTCACTCCAGACCACTTGGCTGCGCTGAGATCAGCTTCTCTCTTTTTCTTCTTTAATAATCCAACAAGCTCCATCAGATAAATTCTGTCTCCAAGACAGGTGATTCCAAGCTCACGAAGGTGAGCCTGAGAATGAAATAAAAAACAAATTTATACTTTGTTTCCTAGCAGTTCTGTTGAGTGAAAGTCATATATCATCTTCAGAGTCAAGTGAAAGTTGTTTGTCAGCCGATGGAACGTGCTACATGTACATGTCATAGTCTCTGCATGGTCATAATGAAACAGATTGGTCCATTCTAAACCGTTACCATACTGAAGGATCCCATGAGATAGCAACTGCACGAGCCAATCAGTGCAACATTTGTCGTGGATCAGTGTGGTTTTCACAGCTATTTGTCCACGAAAATTGTGTGACGGAAAATCCAGCTATAATGGCTGTTAAGACTTGTGTAAAGTTCGTAAACAGTGAGAGGTCAGTTGTTGTCAGTTACGATCTATCTACTCTAAGTCAAATTTGTGTTGGTTAGCTTAGAACTGTTTGAAGGCAAAGTTTGGAATATTTGTCAACTCACCTCTTGCAAAAGCATGAGGCATTTACCATTGATCTTGTTCACATAAAACTGCTCTGCCATATAACCCAATCCAGCTCGTTCAAGAAACTGTTGGTTAACCTCCTCCATAGACCAACCTGTTGGTACCATCAACAAATATGACATGAGATAAATCAACTGTATAAACAGATATCTTAGGGCACATGAAAGGTATGTAGGGTCTGCACTTGGGCCAAAGTGATGTGTTCCAGACCACAGCTTATCTAGTAGGTTTCTGTAGCATTAAAAGCGACTTGGGGTATTGTTACTCTCCCTGGATGGGATGCAAAAGTAGTCCATTGTAGGTTAATCCCCTAGGATTTTGTCAGTAGTTGCCGTAACGTACAGTTTGCCGGTAAGTTTGCCATTGGATCAATCAAACATTGGATGTTTCCTATTAAGGTTCACAATTTTGCAACTGCTGATTGTTTCTTAGCAACTATTGCTCCCCATTCTTGATTGAGAAATTCACAAAATTCCATTGTCTCCTTTTGCCTAATTAAACCTTCAGTCAAGAAGTTTGAAAAGGAGGCTCAACTTCACAAGCTACATATCATGAGTGTAGTTTTTAAAAACAATCAATTATTGTAAATTTTACATTATAGACACTACATGCATGTATAATTTACCATTATTTTTTTGTTAATGGATATTATACTGTTAAAATCAAGTTCTGCAGGGCAACTATTTTTTTGTTGAATGTTACTAATTTGGAAATCATCTGTTATCAGCAGTTTCTGTGAGTATCCATAATTTTTTGTCTGAAATTCTTGGTGTCCGGTGTAATGAATAAAACACATTAATGCTCACTGTGGTTATTATTTATATGGCAACAAATTAAATAAGTTAAACTCTGGCATACATTTCTTAATTTAAAAATAATTATATCATTGATATTTTGACACTTCTACGAGTTTTTTTTAACCATTTCTAATCTGTTACAATATGTTTTGTGTTATCCTACGAACAGTCCCCTTTTTGGCTTTTATCTCTCTGCGTAGCAGTCGTTTCCTTTCCGAGAGCATGGGGGGCTCGTGAAAGCCTGGAGAGCAAAAAGAAGCAAATAAAAATTGGGAGGGGGGTCACGCTCCATGTCTTCACGCACCTCCCGCACTCTCAGAAAGGAAATTTATGACTGCTACACCAAAGCTTCTGGGTTAAGTGGCAATTTCATTCTTAGTCAAGTGGGATGAGCAATGGTTTGCTAAGAAACCATTTCAGTGATCCAACATTTGGATCTCGCAGGAAAACGGTTGTCAAATTTGTCGATATTTGATCCAAGCAGAAACTGCTATGTATGCCTGGTTCAATTCCTGGATAAAGATGACCATAAGTAAAGAAGTAAACTTGTAACGTTCCCAGAATTCACCTCTGAGTCAATTCTCTGAGTTTCAGGCAAAACAATCAAAGCTAAACAAGATTATATTATGATCAAATTGTGTATACAGGGACCTGTACTCTAAATTTCTAAATAAAACCCTTTAGAATTCAACTCATTTGGCTGATCAACAACAGATCAAGAGAGATCAAGTGTAAACTTGCAGTAATTTTACATGCAATATAAGCTTAAGTCTTAGCTTACGTATTTTGTAGTCACAAATGAAATAAAATCATGGATACATAATAAAATCAAGAAGTCCTGTCTCATTGTTATTTTATTGAAAATAAACAATAATTCATAACAATCGACCGAGTTTCATTAAATTTCATTCTTGCTTAATAAATCAACGAGAAGGTACCTTGTATACAATGTACTTTACATGTAAACAACTTCAAAACAAGATGAGTTTCAGCTTTGAGCTGATATTGGGTTTAGCACTTTATTTTTCCCTTCCGAGTTCCGACTAACCGCTTCTGAGGACTCCATATATGCATATCAACTGCTCCCCATTGTTAACAATGACAACGTATTGCTTACTCAAACCAGGACGAGAAAGATACGCTACGACCCCTCTTGAAGTACAAATCGTTTGAGCGTAAAATGATCTGACACGAGAGATCGGAATTAGGGTCAAGTTGTAATAGCGAACATTTACAAGTTAAGCTTAGTGTATGTGACAACGCCCATTAAATGCAGAATAATAAAACGCTTGTTGCCTCAGAGGAACTGACTGTTCAAATCAAATCAAACAAACACCAAGATCAAAACATCTATCTAGTTTATAAAGTTCCATATTAAACTCGTGAGATCGCGAACATTCTGTTAACTTTCAATTTAATCCGCGCGCTCGTCCTGGAATTAAATGGCGCCGCTTTCTTTCCTCAAGAGTTCTGACACATTGCGGCAAGACGCGAAAGATTTACATATCGAGAAATTATACAAACCGAAGAACGAACTTACCCGATACTGTGGCCGGATCCAAGTTGAGTACATAATCTTCCGTGGCTGAGAGTTTAACCGGCTG